CACACCTCTCCCCGCCATCCTTGGGCTGAAGGGGTCTACCTGGTCCCGGAAGCCCGGGGGACCCGGTCCGGGAAGGCTGTGTGTAGGTTCCTCCCGCCCCAACTATATGCAAGTCTACACGAATGCATCTCAAATCTGGGTCAAGTTATAAAAACATTCCGGGAAAAGGTTCTTCGAGACATCTTAACTACTAATACTTCTTGACTTTTTCTCTGAATATCCAGCCATTAGTTCTGATCACTCTGATGACCCGCTCGTTGGTGGGAACAGGAAGCATGTAGCTAGGATTATCGAGGTCTGTAAAGGGATGTAGGGTGAGGTATCCCATCACAAGGTGAAGTATGTGGGGTGATTAAGACGGTCAGGGTGATTGAGATCATCAGGGTGATTAACATGGTCAGGGTGATTGAGATCATCAGGGTGATTAACATGGTCAGGGTGATTGAGAGGATCGGGGAGCTGGTATGTGTTCCTGGAAACTCGTCCAGATCAGCTCCATTACTGTTGATTAACTATTCCTGTCTTCCACTTACTGTCAACAAACAGTGACTGGGCCAGAGTGTGTGTGTGTATACGCACCTATTTGTGCCTGCAGGATTGTGCCTCTTGGGCTCCGCTTTTCTAACCTTTGGTTGTCTAATGCAATGACTCCTGCCCTAATTTCTCTATCATACCTGCTTTTAAAGTTATGGATATATGTGTGTGTGTGCATGTACTCACCTAGTTGTGCTTGCGGAAGATGAGCATCGGCTCTTTGGTCCCGCCTCTCAACTGTAAACCAACTGGTGTACAGATTCCTGAGCCTACTGGGCTATGTCATATCTACAGTAGGCTCGCGAATCTGTACACTGAATTTGTGAATCTGTGTGTGTGTGTGTGTGTGTGTGTGTGTGTGTATGTGTGTGTGTGTGTGTATATGTATATGTGTATGTGTATGTGTATGTGTATGTGTGTGTGTGTGTGTGTGTGTGTGTGTGTACTCACCTAGTTCTCACCTAGTTGTGTTTGCGGGGGTTGAGCTCTGGCTCTTTGGTCCCGCCTCTCAACCGTCAATCAACAGGTGTACAGATTCCTGAGCCTATCGGGCTCTGTCATATCTACACTTGAAACTGTGTATGGAGTGAGCCTCCACCACATCACCCCCTAATGCATTCCATTTGTCAACCACTCTGACACTAAAAAAGTTCTTTCTAATATCTCTGTGGCTCATTTGGGCACTCAGTTTCCACCTGTGTCCCCTTGTGCGTGTTCCCCTTGTGTTAAATAGACTGTCTTTATCTACCCTATCAATCCCCTTCAGAATCTTGAATGTGGTGATCATGTCCCCCCTAACTCTTCTGTCTTCCAGCGAAGTGAGGTTTAATTCCCGTAGTCTCTCCTCGTAGCTCATACCTCTCAGCTCGGGTACTAGTCTGGTGGCAAACCTTTGAACCTTTTCCAGTTTAGTCTTATCCTTGACTAGATATGGACTCCATGCTCCATGATGTGTGTGTGTGTGTGTGTGTGTGTGTGTGTGTGTGTGTGTGTGTGTGTGTGTGTGTGTGTGTACTCTACTTATCTAACAATAACTACAGGGACACGAGGTATAGCTCTTTCTGCCCCGCCTTCTAGCCTTGTTGATCTGCTGTGTTATAATATAACTAATCTGACATTCGAATTCTTCATTAAATCTGGCCTTAAAGTTGAGTGGAGGTGGCTTCCACAACCTCCCACCTCTACAGGGCGCCACTATTACCTAACATTCCTTCCATTCATTTACATTTCCAGCTTCCACTTGTATGATCTAATCCCACTTTCTCAATCTCATCAGCTCGTCTTTGTCAACCATGTCCATTCCCCTCAGTATCTTCAATGTTGTGATCATATGCGTTTTGTTTCTGCTATCTTCAAGGGTTTAGAGACAGTTTTATTTGGCTATCCTTCTAGGTCAACCCTCCTTACCTCTGGTACAAATCTTGCTGAAAAACTTTGTATTTTTTCCATTTTGGTTTTATGCTTCACACGGTGAGGATTCCAGGCCGGTGCTGCACACTGCAAGTCCTGGTCTAACATTACCTCCTGGTCTCCTGTGTCCCTTGAGGGTGGTGTGTGGCTGGGGGAGAGTAGCGGTGTGGGGCTGGGGGAGAGTAGTGGTGTGGGGCTGGGGGAGAGTAGTGGTGTGTGGCTGGGGGAGAGTAGTGGTGTGGGGCTGGGGGAGAGTATGTGGTGTGGGGCTGGGGGAGAGTAGTGGTGTGGGGGGCTGGGGGAGAGTAGTGGTGTGTGGCTGGGGGAGAGTAGCGGCGTGGGGCTGGGGGAGAGTAGTGGTGTGTGGCTGGGGGAGAGTAGTGGTGTGGGGCTGGGGGAGAGTAGTGGTGTGGGGCTGGGGGAGAGTAGGGGTGTGTGGCTGGGGGAGAGTAGCGGCGTGGGGCTGGGGGAGAGTAGGGGTGTGGGGCTGGGGGAGAGTAGTGGTGTGGGGGGCTGGGGGAGAGTAGTGGTGTGTGGGGCTGGGGGAGAGTAGTGGTGTGTGGCTGGGGGAGAGTAGCGGCGTGGGGCTGGGGGAGAGTAGTGGTGTGGGGCTGGGGGAGAGTAGTGGTGTGGGGGGCTGGGGGAGAGTAGTGGTGTGTGGGGCTGGGGGAGAGTAGTGGTGTGTGGGGCTGGGGGAGAGTAGTGGTGTGTGGGGCTGGGTGAGAGTAGTGGTGTGGGGGGCTGGGGGAGAGTAGTGGTGTGTGGGGCTGGGGGAGAGTAGTGGTGTGGGGCTGGGGGAGAGTAGTGGTGTGGGGCTGGGGGAGAGTAGTGGTGTGGGGGGCTGGGGGAGAGTAGTGGTGTGTGGGGCTGGGGGAGAGTAGTGGTGTGGGGCTGGGGGAGAGTAGTGGTGTGGGGCTGGGGGAGAGTAGTGGTGTGTGGGGCTGGGGGAGAGTAGTGGTGTGTGGGGCTGGGGGAGAGTAGTGGTGTGGGGCTGGGGGAGAGTAGTGGTGTGGGGCTGGGGGAGAGTAGTGGTGTGGGGCTGGGGGAGAGTAGTGGTGTGGGGCTGGGGGAGAGTAGTGGTGTGGGGCTGGGGGAGAGTAGCGGCGTGGGGCTGGGGGAGAGTAGTGGTGTGGGGCTGGGGGAGAGTAGTGGTGTGTGGGGCTGGGGGAGAGTAGTGGTGTGGGGCTGGGGGAGAGTAGTGGTGTGGGGCTGTGGGAGAGTAGTGGTGTGTGGGGCTGGGGGAGAGTAGTGGTGTGGGGCTGGGGGAGAGTAGTGGTGTGGGGCTGGGGGAGAGTAGTGGTGTGGGGCTGGGGGAGAGTAGTGGTGTGGGGCTGGGGGAGAGTAGTGGTGTGGGGCTGGGGGAGAGTAGCGGCGTGGGGCTGGGGGAGAGTAGTGGTGTGGGGCTGGGGGAGAGTAGTGGTGTGTGGGGCTGGGGGAGAGTAGTGGTGTGTGGGGCTGGGGGAGAGTAGTGGTGTGTGGGGCTGGGGGAGAGTAGTGGTGTGGGGCTGGGGGAGAGTAGTGGTGTGGGGCTGGGGGAGAGTAGTGGTGTGGGGCTGGGGGAGAGTAGCGGCGTGGGGCTGGGGGAGAGTAGTGGTGTGGGGCTGGGGGAGAGTAGCGGCGTGGGGCTGGGGGAGAGTAGTGGTGTGGGGCTGGGGGAGAGTAGCGGCGTGGGGCTGGGGGAGAGTAGTGGTGTGGGGCTGGGGGAGAGTAGCGGCGTGGGGCTGGGGGAGAGTAGTGGTGTGGGGCTGGGGGAGAGTAGTGGTGTGGGGCTGGGGGAGAGTAGCGGCGTGGGGCTGGGGGAGAGTAGTGGTGTGGGGCTGGGGGAGAGTAGTGGTGTGGGGCTGGGGGAGAGTAGCGGCGTGGGGCTGGGGGAGAGAAGTGGTGTGGGGGCTGGGGGAGAGTAGTGGTGTGGGGGGCTGGGGGAAAGTAGTGGTGTGGGGGGCTGGGGGAGAGTAGTGGTGTGGGGGGCTGGGGGAGAGTAGCGGCGTGGGGCTGGGGGAGAGTAGTGGTGTGGGGGGCTGGGGGAGAGTAGTGGTGTGGGGGGCTGGGGGAGAGTAGCGGCGTGGGGCTGGGGGAGAGTAGTGGTGTGTGAGGCTGGGGGAGAGTAGTGGTGTGGGGCTGCAGGGGAGTAGTGGTGTGGGGCTGCGGGGGAGTAGTGGTGTGTGGGAAGGCATGGGGGGAGGGGGTGGACGGGGTACACAGGAGTATGGGGAGGTAGGGAAGGTCACACAGTTTGTGAGGAGCGAGGTGGTGAGTTTTAAAGTGTGTATTTACTATTTGTTGCTGCAGAATCAAACTATTAGCTCTTGGACTCCGCCTTTCTATACGATCTATTTTGTCTATATTATAGCTACTACATATATTCGTCTCTAACACACACACAGGATGCAGCCCGTAGCAGCTGTCTAACTTCATGGTACCTATTTACTGCTAGGTGAGCAGGGGCATCAAGTGAAAGAAACTATCCATTTGTTTCTGCCTCGCCCGGGAATCGTACCCGGGCACTTTGGATTACGACCCAAGTTCGAGTGCTGTACATTCGGCCGTGTGTATGTGTGTGTGTGTGTGTGTGTGTGTGTGTGTGTGTGTGTGTGTGTGTGTGTGTGTGTGTGTGTGTGTGTGTGTGTGTGAGAGAGAGAGAGAGAGAGAGAGAGAGAGAGAGAGAGAGAGAGAGAGAGAGAGAGAGAGAGAGAGAGAGAGAGAGAGAGAGAGATATATATATATATATATATATGACTCATATCTTGAGACCATCGCCTATGGAACTAATTCTTGAACTGTTACTATTTAATTCCATTCAACTAAATAACACTAATCATTAATATGCAAATCACGGTCACATAACACGGCAAAGCCCATAATGAAAGTACTCAGGGTGAGCAAAAAGTACAATGTAAACACTAGGAATTGTTACATTTCTGAAGACGATATCAGACACAATATAAAAACTGGACAAACGCAACACTTCAATCACACACTGACGTAGACGCCAGGGCGCCAGGAGCTGGCCGCCTGCCGCGGGTCACAGGCAAACCTTGGCTTCCAGCGTTTGTTTTCAATATCTCCAGCGCTCAGCCGTCGCCTGCGCAGTATTTGTCCTATTATAATGCTGCCCTGTCCCCGACCCGCGTGCTCTGACGCCCCAAGTTGCTCAAGTGCGTAAGCGCCCAACCTTCAAGAATACCAATTTTTTGTACCGTGGTTCTTGGTTTGGTACGAGTTGAGGAAGGGTACAAAAGCCAGTGTGGGCAGTCCGCGCCGTCACTTACCGCGGGCTCCTCCACCGACAACACCACACTGTGCTTCTCGCGCCCCACAAACACTGGAATATTCTCCGCCGACTTTGGACAACATTGAGTGTAGTGTTCGAAATACAAAGAGAAATTTTGTGTGTGGCTACTTGTTGTATAAAGACCTTTATGATGTCTGATGTGGAAAAACAGAACCTGTTGCTGTTGACGACAGCTGTCAAAGGTCTGGGGCGCTTCCTTCTAGCACTTAGTGTGTTCCTGCTGCTAATCTTGGCCATCATCTGCATAAGGAAGTACCTGAACCGACAGAGGAAGCATGTTCCCCTGCCCACACCACCTGTCTGTCATCGGCAGCTGTCTCCTCACACCGAATACCCGCCCACACCGCCCATCAACAGGCAGCTGATGTCTGTCTACGCCCTCTACCGGCCCACAGCGCCAGACAGCCCGTTTTTCTCCGCTAAGTCCGCAGGAATGTCTCCATCACCATTCGGCAGTCACTTCAGTTTGGATACAAGTGTGACTCAGCTTTCCCTCTGCCGCACCCCGCCTCTGAGTCCGCGTCTCCTGCCACACCAGGCTCCAGGCCGCCCCATCTTCTACCTGCCCGGTAGTAGCCCGAGACTCATGCCTACTCGCGCCACCACCTCCTCCCAGCCTGGTAGCCCTCTGCTGCTACCACCCACCACCTCCTCCTCTAAGCCAGCAAGACCACAACACCTGCCTCTACGTGTATCTTACTCCCAGCCTAATACTCCACGACACCTGCCTGACCGTGCTAGCGTCTCTAACCCAGCTACTCCACGGCACCCGCCTCTCCGTGCCACCTACTCCCAGCCCAATATTCTGCATCACCCGCCTCTCCGCGGCACCATCTCCCAGCAAGATGGCCCCAGGCACCCACCTCTCCGCGGCACCATCTCCCAGCCCAATATTCTGCATCACCCACCTCTCCGCGGCACCATCTCCCAGCCTAATAATCTGCATCACCCACCTCTCCGCGGCACCATCTGCCAGCCAGGTGGCCCCAGGCACCCGCCGCTCCGTGCCACCGTCTCTCAGCCAGGTGGTCAACTCGTTCGCAATTCCTGGTCAATGCCAGGTGGCCTGTACCACTTCCTTGAGTCGTGAAGTCCTTCAACCGAACTGCTCCATCCTGACCTCTGAGTTAAGGGGTCACCTTCGGCTTGCTGACTTGCCTTTGAGAATGCTGATGGTGAACACGACCTTTACCTGTGTGCAGCTGTGTTGGCGGGCTGTGCCAGCGTGCAGCTGTGTTGGCGGGCCGTGCCGGCGTGCAGCTGTGTTGGCGGGCTGTGCCAGCGTGCAGCTGTGTTGGCGGGCCGTGCCGGCGTGCAGCTGTGTTGGCGGGCCGTGCTGGCGTGCAACTGTGTTAGCGGGCCGTGCCGGCGTGCAACTGTCTTGGCGAGGTGCCATCTTGGCGTGCAACAGTTGTTTGCGAGGTGCCATCTTAGCGTGCAGCTGTTGGAGAGGTGCCGTGCCAGCGTGCAGCTGTTGGAGAGGTGCCGTGCCAGCGTGCAGCTGTTGGAGAGGCGCCGTGCCAGCGTGCAGCTGTGTTGGAGAGGCGCTGTGCCAGCGTGCAGCTGAGTGGAGTGACTTCCAGCAGAGTGTGAAGTGTCTGTATCAATATACTGAGAATTTCGACACTTAACTGAGTGTCAACGTCCAGCTGAGAGTGTCAACGTCCAGCTGAGAGTGTCAACGTCCAGCTGAGAGTGTCAACGTCCAGCTGAGAGTGTCAACGTCCAGCAGAGTGTGTCAACGTCCAGCTGAGAGTGTCAACGTCCAGCTGAGAGTGTCAACGTCCAGCAGAGTGTGTCAACGTCCAGCTGAGTGTGTCAACGTCCAGCTGAGAGTGTCAACGTCCAGCTGAGAGTGTCAACGTCCAGCTGAGAGTGTCAACGTCCAGCTGAGAGTGTCAACGTCCAGCTGAGTGTGTCAACGTCCAGCTGAGAGTGTCAACGTCCAGCTGAGAGTGTCAACGTCCAGCCGAGTGTCAACGTCCAGCCGAGTGTCAACACCCACCTGACAGTGTCAACACCCACCTGACAGTGTCAACACCCACCTGACAGTGTCAACACCCACCTGACAGTGTCAACACCCACCTGACAGTGTCAACACCCACCTGACAGTGTCAACACCCACCTGACAGTGTCAACACCCACCTGACAGTGTCAACACCCACCTGACAGTGTCAACACCCACCTGACAGTGTCAACACCCACCTGACAGTGTCAACACCCACCTGACAGTGTCAACACCCACCTGACAGTGTCAACACCCACCTGATAGTGTCAACACCCACCTAACAGTGTCAACACCCACCTGACAGTGTCAACACCCACCTGACAGTGTCAACACCCACCTGACAGTGTCAACACCCACCTGACAGTGTCAACACCCACCTGACAGTGTCAACACCCACCTGACAGTGTCAACACCCACCTGACAGTGTCAACACCCATTAACTAAGCTCATTGCCACATATACAATGGCTTCAGAACAATGAAGTCGACGCATACGTCCGCATGCGTCGACTCTAGTGGATCTGCGGCCGTAGACGGTGTCCATGAGCGCGTCGACGTCGACGTACTCGACGAGGAGCTCTGAGGAACCTTCAAGAACGTCGAGGAGGACCTTGACAGTCAGGGTGTGAGAGGGGGAGGTCTTGAGAGCCCTCACAGCTCCTCATGCCTCGCTCGTAGGCCTCCACTCATATCTTACTTTATATGGACAAGTTCAACAAACAACAATTTAGTGTTTCGACAGTTATCAATTCGGGACACGTCAGAGATTGCTGAAATAGAGGGAATACAGAGAATATATACAGCATACATAGACGCGATAAACTACCTAATTTATTGGCTTCGTCTCAAAGCTCTCCAAATGTACTCGCTAGAAAGGAGACGAGAGAGCTATCAGGACATGTCATTGGATGGTGAGAATAAATGTTTACAGCGAGCGGTCTGATGTTCCATATGTTTAGGCTTGCATAATCTCAAAATGTTTAGTAATTAAATATACTGTGAACATCATTTACATAAAAGAGTTCAGTTTTCCTCCGTGGCAGACGAGGAAAATGTAAATAATGTCACTTAAGACTACTAGTATATAGTCTTGAAGCTTGCATTATATTGAACATTTACAGGTGATTTACAATAATCCAGAATATGGCAAACATAACCATGAATGTTTAACATATACAGCCAACTTTTAACAATAAACAATAAAACAGGAAAATAAATAAGTTTTATTCCCCAGCCTTTATTGAAGAATTCTGCCCCGTGCAGACGAGGAGTCACAATAACGTGGCTGAAATATGTTGATTGTCGTTCTGACGATTGTGAGAATGACAATGGACTTGAGAATGGCCCAGGACGGACCGAAACGTCGTCGTCCCTTCACCTTCTAGTGTGTGGTCTGGTCAACATTTCTGCCCAACAGGCCCAGATAGACTTATATATAAACACATAGGGAGGGAGTATTGACCAGGAAGGAGGTCGTGACCTTGTTGTTAACTTGACCTCATGTGCCTCTTGCAGCTGTTACTTATTGACTTAGTATAATGTTAATGTTTGTGTTGCGTTTCATTCAACATTTCATAATGATGATGATATTGGAAATACTGATAATAATGCAAATATACTAAATACGATTTGATCGCAATGAGGCCATCATGGCACTCTCTTATCCCAATATATCTTTCTCTCTTTCTTGTCTCTTTCTCTCTCCTATTTCTCTCCGTTCTCTGTTTTTCTCTCTCTCTACTGTCTTGTCTACTCTCTCCTCTATCTTTCCTCTTTCCTTTCTTTCCTCTCTCCTCCGCCCAACCACTTGGGCTGGGCGGTAGAGCGACGGTCTCGGTACATGCTACGCTACGTTCAATCCCCGACCGTCCAAGTGGCTGTGGCCACCATTACTTTCTCCCCCGTCCCATCCCAAAGCCTTATCCTGACCCCTTCCAAGTGCTATACAGTCGTAATTCAAATTCAAATGTTTATTCAGGTAAAGTACATACATACAAGGGGTGATACAAATATTGATGAATTTATAGATAAGAGCTAGAACATACAATGCCTAAAGCCACTATTACGCAAAGCGTTTCGGCCAGATTCACGGAGCAGTGATGGCTTGGCGCTTTGTCCTGATGGGTTCCCTTCCATTCCTCTTGCCTCACTGTGTTTTCTCAGCCCCGAATGTGACCTGTCTTCCACCTTCCCTAGGTAGATAGTGCTGATTGGTTGATTGATGAAGATTAAGCCACCCTAAAGGTGGCACGGGCATGAATAGCTCGTAAGTTGTGGCCCATTTGAGCCATTACCAGTATCAAGAGCTGATATTGGAGATGTGTGGAGGTGCGACTGCACCCTGCGTGACGGGAGATGTCTCCCGTCGTAGATAGTGCTGGATGTGTATGGTTAATGATCCTCATAGCAGTTGGTATTTCTTTCTCATGCCACAATAGTCATCGGCATAGACCTGAGCTTCTGGGATGAGGTGTAGTAGATCACCCAAACAAGACATTCCACAACAATCTGGCAAACTGTCACAGAAAAGACATTACTTCACTATCTTCTGGAATGTGAAGCAACCAACGACCTTAGAAGAGCTTCAAGAGTTCCTGAATCTTGCAGTGGCCACCCTGAAGCCATCAACACAGCCACTCTCCTGGTCAACAAAGGTGTCCAGCAGCTGGACACCCTCATAAAGACTGTCAAGCAGTATCCTCCCCCGCGATAACAGCTTGATGGTTAAATGCAACCTCAGAATACTGAAAAGAATTACTGAACAAAAAATTGTACCACTTACGGGCTATTCATGCCCGTGCCACCTCTTGGGTGGCTTAATCTTTATCAATCAATCAATCTTCCACAACAAAGGCCAGGGGCCAGATTCACGAAGCAGTTAAGCATGTACTTACGAACGTGTAAATCTTTCCTGAATCTCAATTTGACGGCTTTGGTTACATTTTTTAAAGTTTAGAAGCATGAAAACTTGCCAATCAACTGTTGTTATTGTTATAAACAGCCTCCTGGTGCTTCGGAGCTCATTAACTGTTTAATAATTATAAACAAAGCCGCCAAAGATTGAGAAAAGATGTACAGGTTCGTAAGTGCTTGCGTAAGTGCTTCGTGAATCTGGCCCCTAGCACCTTGTGGTCTGCTGACACAAACTGCGTGACTTTCAGACACTGCTCCACTGAGGACTAGTCTTAAAGTACACTCCTGAAGGCAGACCCTTACCAGCTGTATAATGTAGCCTGAGATCCCCAGGGCTGGAAGCTTTGCTAGTAGACCAAAGTGACAGTCCCAAACTATGGTAACTGCAATGACCAATACCAAAACACAGCTGACTTTAGAGTCCTGCCGTTCCTGATGCCAGTAAGTGGAGAGGTTAAGCATGAGGTCAGCGGCAGAACATTTCCTGAAACCAAACTGACTAACATATAGTAACCGACGATGGTGAAACACTGTTGTCATATGCTGAGAGATTAATGTCTGGTGAAATGTGCCAGTAAAGCAGTGACACTGGCAGGTAGTTACTGACTACTAAACACTTCTTCCTTTTGTGGAGTGGAACTACATCTTTATTCTTAACTAGGAAGGACTACATTCTTCGAGCTAGTTGGTAGATGTTGTTTTTTGTGTTAGATTTAGCTACTCAGAACGAAGTATCCATGTAGCACGGGCTATAGTGAGCCCGTAAATAGTTGGTAGAGATGTGTGGAAGCCAAAGTCAAGTAAGCCAAAACCCTCTAATAATATCCCCCGATCTTGGCGGAATATTATTACAGGTGTCGAGATCAGTTGTCACTCCTCAGACCTCAAGGCGGCCACAACCTCCTCCTCCTCACTTTACACCTCACAGAATGATCTCACGTCACAATTGTGTCCTCAACCAAATGATCTACAAAAACAGTATTCTCTACAGATCTAATGGCGCTGTAAATCAGCCACAACCCAGTTACATAGTTATGAGAGGAATGGTAGCGAGTTGTAGGGAATATTAATGGGGGGGTCTGGCCTTCAGTACCTCTTCTGCCTTTCTGAATTAACTCCGAGAGCGACTGCCATCCTTACCACCGCTTGCAACACCAACCCCGGCAGCTGTCATGACCTCTCCTGTGTCGTCTTGGGCCACCATCTCCCAAGACGACCCAGGCTCTTAGGCTTTTGGGGAGTGTTGACTCAAGACGACCCGGGCTCTCAGCCTTTAGGGGAGTGTTGACTCAAGACGACCCAGGCTCTTAGGCTTTTGGGGAGTGTTGACTCAAGACGACTCAGACTGTCATTATCTTGGGGGTGTTGACTCAAGACGACTCAGGCTGTCATTCTCTCGGGAGAGTTGACTCAGTAGGACTCAGGCTGTCATTCTCTCTGGTGTGTTGACTCAAGACGACTCAGGCTGTCATTCTCTTGGGGGTGTTGACTCAAGACGACTCAGGCTGTCATTCTCTCTGGTGTGTTGACTCAAGACTACTCAAGCTGTCATTCTCTCTGGTGTGTTGACGCAAGACGACTCAGGCTGTCATTCTCTCTGGTGTGTTCACTCAAGACGACTCAGGCTGTCATTCTCTCGGGAGTGTGATGAGGCTAATCCGAGAGTGGCAGTCCATCCCACACCGAGCACAAACGAAGTCCGATTCTGGTCTGTCTTCCTGGCTACCGGCTTTCCTTCTCTGTCTCTTTGCTTCCGATTCCTTGGCAAGTGACTCCTCGAACTTGGAGAGACCTCTTTGAACAGACTGCCTCCAGGCTGAACGGTCTGCAGCCGGTGTCTCCCATATAGTAAGATCAACGTCCATGGCTTTCAGGTCCCTCTTGCATACGTCTTTGTACCGTAGCTGGGGCTTGCCTGTTGGATGCTTTACCTGCATGAGCTCTCCGTACTGGAGATCCTTGGGGATCCTGCCGTCGCCCATTCGCACAACGTGCCCGAACCAGCGCATTCGTCTCTGTTTCAGCATTGTGTACATACTGGTGATTCTTGCTCTCCCCAAGACGTTGTTGTTTGTCACCTTGTCCTGCCAGGTGATGTCCAAGATGTGTCGAAGGCAGCGCATGTGGTAGGCATTCAGCTGTCTTTCCTAACGGGCGCGGAGTGTCCAAGAATCACTGCCATAAAGGAGAGTGCTCAGGACACAGGCTCTGTAAACCTGAATCTTAGTATACTCAGTTAGCCTATTGTTGGCCCACACACTCTTTGTCAGTTTGGACATGGTAGTAGATGCCTTACCGATGCGTTTGTTTAGCTCCGTATCAAGAGAGAGAGGGAGTCAGAGATTGTGGAGCCCAGGTACACGAAGTCGTGAACGACTTCCAGTTTAGAATCAGAGATGCCGATGTCAGGTGGGGAGTCCACTCCTTGTCCCATGACTTGTGTTTTCTTCAGACTGATGGTGAGTCCGAAAGCCTGAGAGGCCTCGCTGAAGCGGGTTATGAGCCGTTGGAGGTCTTCAGTTGAGTGGGCAGTGACTGCTGCGTCGTCGGCAAAGAGGAAATCGCGCAGACACCTCAGCCGAACCTTCGTCTTGGCTCTCAGCCTGGCGAGGTTAAAGAGCTTTCCATCCGACCTGGTCCGGAGGTAAATGCCTTCCGTGGCAGATCCGAAGGCGTGCCGCAGCATAACTGCGAAGAAAATCCCGAATAGGGTTGGAGCCAGTACGCAGCCCTGCTTTACTCCACTTCGGATGTCAAAGGCGTCTGGTGTTAGGCCATCAAAGACCATGGTGCCCCTCATGTTCTCATGGAAAGATCTGATGATGCTGAGGAGCCTGGGTGGGCATCCGATCTTGGGGAGGATCTTGAACAGGCCATCCCTGCTGACGAGGTCGAAGGCCTTCGTCAGATCTATGAAGGCTACGAAGAGTGGCTGCTTCTGTTCCCTGCATTTCTCCTGCAGTTGTCTGAGGGAAAAGACCATGTCGATGGTGGACCTGCCAGCTCTGAATCCGCATTGTCATTCTGGATAGACTCTCTCTGCAAGTACTTGGAGCCTCTTCAATGCGACTCGAGCAAACAGCTTTCCGACAATACTGAGGAGGGAGATTCCACGGTAGTTGTTGCAGTCGCCCCTGTCACCTTTATTCTTATACAGTGTGACGATGTTGGCATCCCTCATGTCCTGTGGCACCTCTCCTTCTTCCCAGCAGAGGCAGAGAATTTCATGCAGCTCCATGAGCAGGCTACCTCTGCAGCACTTCAAGGTCTCAGCAGGAATGCCATCTTTGCCAGGAGCTT